CCAATAATACAGAACATTCTGTATTATTATTAAAGCATGTTGACCTGTTAAGGCCCCAAAGCCAACCCCATTTCATAAGTGGAATTAAATGAGACATGAAGAAGGGGAAGTGTTCACCCAGAGCAGTTTAGCAGATTTTTAGAGTGAGTCACCATGAGAAAAGAGGCCCCCAAGCCAGTGCTTGCTGTTTTCATGCTACGGTTCCAAGTGGAAGAGCCCAAAAGTTAGACTCTGTGGCTCAGGCCTCACCAAATAGGACCCCGCATCTTCCTTGGCATGTATTTCCTTTAGTGGGGATAGAGGTAAGAACTGTTACATTTGCGTCCTTCCAGAACAGCTTAAGACTAAAAAAACTCAAATGTCTATGGGGTGCCTGGGTGGCTCAGTCGGTTGAGTGTCCGACTTTGGCTCAAGTCACGATCTTGCAGTTCGTGGGTTCGAGCTCCGCGTCGGGCTCTGTGCTGACACCTCGGAGCCTGGAGCCTGCTTCGGATTCTGTGTCTCCTTCTCTCTCCATTCCTTCCCTGCTCACACTCTGTCTCTCTCTCTACCTCAAAAATAAAGATTAAAAAAAATTTTTTTAAAAACTCCAATGTCTGGAAAAGTAAGATACAGAGTGAGGCAAAGTGTAAGATAATATCTGGCCAAGCAGTATTGTCTTGGGTGAGTGAGTCTCTGGTCACTTAGGAGCCTGCCTGTCCTTGTGCCTTCTTAGGACCTGTGCCTTCTTAGGATCTGACCACATACTCCTTCTCGTGCTTCGTGATGAACCTCCGTTACCTCTTTTAGTGCACATCTTCTTTGGGTAGTACAAACTGTATTCCTGACCATGCTCTGGGTAGTTTAGAATGCTTACATTATTTCTGTGAAATACAAACCCTTGAAAGTGATCGCTGAGACGGCACATGGTGCTCACCGCAGCGGTGTCTTTCTGTGTAGGTCACTCGCATCGTTCGGAGTGCTGCTTCACAAGTGGCTGAAACTTGCATCACAAGTGTCCCTCCAGATCGCCCAGTCGATGGAAGTGTTTTCACCACAGTCTCGCAGCAGATGTTTACTCTGTGTGCACTGGCTTCACAGATTCGTGTAGATGCTCCCCTTGTAGATGGACTCCACCGCTAGTGTGAATCGTGACTGCTTTGTGGCCGTAATTAAAGCTACTAAAAGGAAGGATGGGGGTGATATGGACTGTGCTCAAAGCAGGTGTTCAGTTTTGACAGAGAAGAGCCAATGTTTTATCTTTGCTGCATTTTTAGAAAGCTAGAAATGAAAGGTGAGACCCAGGAGAGAGGGGAGAGGGTGTCCCCCAGGCTTGTTACATATACTCAGTATCCAGGTGGGTAAAAATATGAGACTAAAAAGATAAAGGACTTGGTTAGAGTAGACTTTTTTGATTTTTCAATTGGATGATACTTTGCTGATTGCTATTTTTTTTACAAGGCCCTCTGCCAAGATTTTTTTTTTTTTTTTTTTTTAAATCTCAAAAAGAATGAGGAATTGTAATCTTCGGAGCATAAAAAATTTTTTTAGTTTATTTTTTAAAAAATGTTTTTGAGAGAGCACAAGTGGGAGAGGGGCAGAGAGAGGAGGACAAAGGATCGGAAGTGGGTTCTGCGCCGATAGCAGGGAGCCTGATGGGGGCTTGAACTCCGGAACCGTGAGATCATGACCTCAACCAAAGTCGGACGCTTAACCAACTGGGCCACCCAGGCGCCCGCAGGTTGTTTCTTAAAAGATAAGTCAAGTTGGTGTTAGATTGTTACACTCATTCATTTTGCAGATATTTATTGACAGTCTACGTAATGCCGAGCATTGTGTTAGATGCTAGAAGTGTATCATTCCACAAAGAGATAGAGTCCCTGGTTCATGGAAATTTTAAATCTATAAAGTAGACAGATTAAGTGAATAATCTCTTAAGTATGTAGTTATAAATCCTGAAAAGTGCTATAAGGGAAAAGTACCGGATATATAACAGAGGGACCCAACTTCAACAAAGGAATGTCTGAAGATGTTTCATTTCAGTTATGACCCCAGACATGAGAAGAGAAGGATGGAATCAGAAGAACACCCAGGCCAGGGCACCAGGCTGTATAGAGGCCTTGGAATAGGATGACCTTGGAATTCGGGTGGGACTAAAAGAAAATAAGTGTATGGAGGTGTGTTGAGCGGGGCGAGGTAGAGGTGATGGGAATGGGTTAGATGGTGGTGACCTTGCAGGCTTCAGCGGTAGTGACAGCATCTACTGAGGGCCTCTGCTGTGTCAGGCACTGTTCTGGGTGCTTTACGGGCATTGATCGATCGGCCTCATAGATAAGAGGCTGCGTGCCTTGCCCAACTTTATGAAGTGTAGTACAGCCAAGATTTGATCTCAGTTTGGTTTCAGGATCCATAATCTTAAACACCGTGTTACGTTTTTATGTGGAGAAAAAGGATAAGGCATTAAAGAATTTTCAAACAGGATAAGTAATATCAGATTTGTTTTGTGTTTTATAAATACATAAATATATATTTTATATATATATATATATACACCTATGCACGTACCTATGTATACGTGTGTGTATATATATGATGCAGTGTGGAAGACGGGGTGAAACAGGTCACAAGTGGAAGTGGCGAGACCAGGCAGCACCCTTGGCTCCTGTGGGCGCGTCTGCCCCCTCTGGCTCCACAAATGTAAGTATATCCACAGAGCCAGCCACCGGGAGAAATCTTCCAGTGCACGAATGGGACGGCGAGGGAGTTTCTGAAACGGCTGTGAGTGAACGAAGAGCAAGACAGTGTGACCTGGCATACCCAGCAGACGTTCGGGGGTGAGGGTTTTGCCTGGTCTCCCGTGCACGTCCTTCGTTTTCCAGGTTTTCCAGAAACATACAAGTAGGTTGACTTGACATAATTTTGTATCACTTGAGCCTGCTCGTTCTGTAGATTAATTTGGAAACTGCTGACATCCGTAGAATAGTCATTTTTGGCCTCCTCTAGAAGCACAGCTCTGCTTCTTTTAAGCTCATTTGGATAATTTTGAAGACCACCCTGGGGGAGGTGCCTCACGTCCCCCCATCTCAGAAGTACGTGGCTTCTAAGGAGTTGTCGTTTTATAAGGGCCCCGCTTTCTTTAAGAAATTACAGCATCCAGAGAAACAGTGATCCTGACGCTGGGCGGGTAAGGGAAGGGAGGGTCTCCCGCCTGAGGCCTGTGCTTGGATGTGTAGGGCTTGGACACACAGGTCGATGCCCGGCGCCGGGCTGGGAGGCCCGCGGTGGCTTGCTGGCGGGCTCGGTGAGCTCCGCTGGGCCAGCAGCCGGTGATGGGGAAGAGTGAGAGCAGGGAAAAGAGAAACTATGAGCGGCACAGAAAAAGTTAAGCAGGGGCAGAGTAACCCCCTTCCCCTGGGGGCTCACCAACAGGAAGTACTTGGTAGAGGTGAGAAACCTTTTTTGTTAAACGGCAGAATTTAGAATGTTTGACAGTCTTCTGGTTTTTTGTTGTTGTTTTAGTAAATGTTGAGAAATACAAAAGAATCCTTGTAAAATGCGTGTTTGGTATAAAAATAACGTAACGAATTCCTGTGTACTGCCACGAAGTTCGAGATTTCGTGGAGCCTTCCCTCCTGGGTCCGGTTCCCTGTCCTCGCCCCTTAGAGATAACTGCTATCCTGAATATTGGTATAATCCCCTTCCTTTTCTTCATGGTTCTAGGGTTCTTTCATGGCCTCAAATATTTGTATCCTTCCACAACATATTGTTTACGTTTGCATGTTTTTGAACTTCACGTAAATGGAATCGTGGAGAAAGAATACGTTTCTGCACCTAGTTCTTTTCACTCACCTTTATCCTGAGCTTTAACTGCCATGTGTAGTTCTGCACAATTTCACAGCCTTGTGCAGACATAATACATTTTGCTTCTGTTTTCTGCTGTTGACAGACATTTCAGTTTGTTCCAGTTTTTATTGTTTTTTTTTTTTTGTTTGTTTCTGTTTCACTGTCACACACAGTTCTGTGACTGTGCATGTTGTAAAGGTCATTCCTTAAAGGTACACCTAGGAATACAGTGTTTGCATTATAGGTATGCATATCTTCTATTTTACTAAATAAAGGGATTATTTCCAGATGTATATAAGAGTTCCAGTAATTTCATGTCCTTGCCAACATTTGATAGAGTCAGACATTAAAATGTTTGCCAGTATTGTGAATTTTGAAGTATCTCAGAGAAGTTTTAGTTTGTAGTTCTCTGATTATTATGGATGTTGAACACGTTGTGATGCATTTATTGGCTATTGGTTTCTTCTTCTGTGAAGGATTTATGTAAAGCTTTTGTTCATTTTTCAGTTGAATTGTCTTCTGTTTTTGATTTGTAAAAATTCTAGATGATCCTTATTTTAAATAATATATGTTGCAAATACTCGTGGCTTACCTTTTGTGTTCTTTTTTTTTTTCTTAAATTTATTTTTGAGAGAGAGAGGGAGAGAGACAATGCAAGTGGTGGAGGGGCAGAGAGAGATGGAGACACAGAATCCGAAACAGGCTCCAGGCTCTGAGCTGTCCACACAGAGCCCAACGCAGGAGGACTCGAACTCACGAACTGTGAGATTATGACCTGAGCCAAAGTCGGATGCTTTACCAACTAAGCCACCCCAGGTGCCCCTACCTTTCATGTTCTTTATGGTAGAATTAGTATTTTCTTAATTTTAGTGTAGTTGAATTTATTTGTCTTTATGATTTGAGTTTGTGTTTAAGGAGTGTTTCTTCATGGTTGTAAAAGCAGTCCCCTGTATTTGTTTTAATTTTAAGAGTTTTACAATTTTGGAGCGCCTGGGTGGCTCAGTCGGTTGAGCGTCCGACTTCAGCTCAGGTCATGATCTCACAGTCCGTGACTACAGCTCAGAGCCTGGAGCCTGCTTCGGATTCTGTGTCTCCCTCCCTCTCTGCCCCTCCCCCACTCACGTTCTGTCTCTCTTTCTCTCAAAAATATATCAACATTAAAAAAAAAAAAAAAAGTTTTATAACTTTGCAAAGTGCCTGGGTGGCTGGCTCAGTAGGTTAAGCATCTGACTTGATTTGGGCTCAGGTCATGATATCACGGTTCACGAGTTCAGGCCCAGGTCGGGCTCGCACTGCCAGTGCAAATCCTATTTGGGATTCTCCCTCTCTCTCTCCCCCCTCTCTCTGCTTCTCTCTCTCTCTCTCTCAAAATAAGTAAACTTAAAAAAAAGTTTTATAATTTTGCTTTTCATATTTAAGTCTTAAATCTCCTGGAATTGGTTTATTGTGCGTGATGTGAGGTAGAGGACCGGTTTTATTTTTGTGTGTGTGTAACCAGGCGTCCCAATACCATCTTTTGAGAAATCCAGCCTTTTTTCCACTAATTTGTATTGCCGGGTATGTCAAAAATGAAATTTCCAGAAATGTGCGAATCCACTTCTGGGTTCCGTTTTGTTCCACTGGTCTGTCTGCTCCTGTATCAGTACCTTCCTGTCTAGCTTTTGAATAATTGTTGATATTTGGTGTGGCACTTCCCCACCTAGTCCTTCTTTTTCAAGAATATTTTGATTATTGGCCCTTTGCTCTTCTGTAAAGTTTTTAGAAGCAGCCTGTCTTGCTCCACAAACTAACCACTTGGGATTTTAAATGAAATTGCATTAAATTGCATCTGTAGATCCTTTGAGTGCTGGGCTTTCCTTATTCCTCCCTTGCCTACTTGGACAGTCTCTCCAAGCACATTATGAAACACTTCTCCACACTGTTTCCTGCGTGCCAAGTTGCAGCCTTCCCTTGAGAATATAGAATAGATTTCAGAACCTTTGTCTTCTGTGTTATGTCTTTGAGGTAAACTTTGCTTGAAAATCCAACCGTAAGAATTTGGGGCCGCTGTTCAATTTGCTGCCTCCAGAAAGGAAACTCGGGCTCTTCGGGATTTTGCCTTGGCTGTGTTTCAGAGCCTAGTTCCGTGGAGTGGGAGGACTTGCTTGTGTGCCTTTAATGTCTATGGGACAGTGCTGTGCGAGCCAATAGGAGCTCATGAATGCTCTTACTATTAGTAATGCCCAAATGCGGGAAGTGTATCTTGGCTTGGAATGAGAAAGGTTCCTGGGAAGTTTTCTTGGCTCTGTTTTCTCAAGATTTATATAGGACACAACAGTAATTCTTTTGTTGTTGTTGTTGTTGTTGTTGTTGTTGTTGTTGTTGTTGTTGTTTTTGTCTTTCTGACTCCAGGGTAATTTTTAAGGAGAGACTAGTTAACCACAGTATTGCAAGTTTTCTTAAATACACTGGTGTTTTGACCAAATGGGACAGAAGTGCACATTAAATTCATAAAAATTCTTTTCCTTACCTTCTTGGAAGTTTGGAAACTCATTCTCCTTTGCATTTCTTTTGAGTCCTCTAGGCAAATTTGCGTGTGTGTGTGTGTGTGTGTGTGTGTGTGTGTGTGTGTGTGTGTTTTAGGGGGAGAAGGGATAGAAGTCTTCCTTCAGGAGATAAAGCTCACCAAGCAGCTGATCAGGCCTTTGTAGGCCTTGAATTTGCTTTGTATTGTGGTGTTTTATTTTGACACCAGGAACTAGAAATACAACATTATCTGATATTCTTAAGGGCCCTTTTGGCACCCAGGGAATTCCTGGATCTCCTGTGTGAATTAACATAAAGCAGGATTTAAAACTCTGCTGTAGCCTACCCCACTACTTATTCAGTCTTCTTTAGGAATTGGACCAGCTCTTCCTTGCATCGTTTGCAACTCATCAGGGCCTGTGCTTTACTCAAGACTTTCTGAGTAGACCTGACCCTCTGTCCAGACAAAGGGCAAGGAGGCAGGAGGCAGCCTGAGACTCTGGAAGGAGGGGCTCTGCGGCATCATTAAAGACATCAATAGTCAGCTCAGTCATTATGCTGTGACAGGTGTTGGTATTCTTTATTCAACTGTTAATTTATGTGTGTAATCCATTTTGATTTTAGACCGTGAACATGTTAAATTTTAAAATGCAATTAGAATACTTCAGAAGCTAGGTTTTCCCCCTGTGCTTCTTCTAAAGAACAGCATTGGACCAAGGAATTCTGGGAACAGAAGATGGGAGGACCTGAGACCCCAGTGGCTGGCAGAAAGAGCCCTGCAGGACTGCTCTCAGGCAGGCAGGCCCCAGAGGAGAATGTGGGCAGGAGGGACTCTCTCTAGGCAGAGACACTTTGGGTTCACTTCTGGATTGTTGTTGAAGTGATTGTGGTCATTTTGTCCGTGGAGAAACACACCCATGACCAGCACAGTGATGGCCAGGCGTTCACCTCTGTTTTGCAGGGGCACTGATCACATCCGCTTCTTGGTTCTGCGCACAAGAGTGAGACATTGTTTAGCTGGGACTTCTCAGAATTTAAGTCATGGGACTAAATAACACGTAGCCTGACTTTTTTATTGGCAGTCTGGAATTACCTTCCGGAACAACTGAGTAAAAGCATACAGAGCTGTGCTGTCTCCTATAGCTAGAGGGAGCGAGGGAAATACCTTCAAAGCCTCTGGTTGTGGCATCAGAGCCTTTGATCCAGATCATATGTGACAAGAATTTTTAAGTGCTACTCATCAAGCCAATTTTCCTCTTATCTGGGGTTAGTGTTCAACCTCTTATCTCTGCTCTTGCCTTAAGCAGCTAACACTTGCCTCTTTATTTGCTGCCCTATGTGAGTAACTGTTGAAATGATTGCTTGAGTTCCCAGGGGAGAATCCCTACTCTCCTTATTAACACTGGGGGTGTGGGTGCTCTTAGTAGCCCAGGGCTTCCAGAGCGGCACATCACAGCACCATCCCTGTAGGGAGAACACTGCCACACCAGTGTGTCTTCAGGGGACAACTCTGCTATCTGTGTCCACGCGGAACTCAGGGATAGAGCGAACTTTACAAACGTCCTGGTTCACCCCATCCCCTGACTACACAGTAGAAAGACAAGCACACAGTGGACTAGACTGTAGAGCCCAGGCCCCCCGAGTCACTGGGCCCCAGGGTGTTTCGGGGTGATATAGTGAGTTGTACAACATTTTTTCCATTCTCAGTTCAGCATCAGAAATGCAGATTCTCTATAGCTTAAACTCCTGAAGGGTCTTCTGAACTTTCTTTCTGCTTAAGGAGTTTGTGATCTAAACCAGTAATTTTCAGTCTGGGGTTTGTGACGCTCCAGTATGTTACACATTATCATAAGAGAATATTTTTAAAGTTCAGTAATAGAGTTCATTGTAATTAGGTATAATTTTTAACATAAGTATATGTCCTTTGATGTGTTTTAAGAATGGATTTATGGTGTCACGAACTTAAATAATGGGATGTTGCAAGTCCCCCAAGCTCGACCTTTCCAGTCTGTCCATCAAAACTAATTCTATATTGAAGTGTCCAAGGTAGCCAGCTAAAGATTAGCAGGTACGTTATCTTGGTTTTGTTCTCATTCCTGCTGAAAGGTTTAATGATACTGTCTGTTCTCATTCTCTTGCTCATTATCTAAGAGTGGAAAGCTGGGGCTAGGCAGAGAGAAGACTTTATAAGTTGCCTCAATGAGGCAGTTAGGTAACCTAGGTCTCTGTTGTCCTGATGGTTCTGTTTGGGGATTTCAGGGAGAATGCTGACCTCTTTGATCTGTGCCGTCTTCATCCTGTGAACTTGCCCCAAACGCCATTGTCATTCACGATGCCTCACATTCCCATGTTCTCTGGCCTTGTTAAGTGCCAGTAGTTTCGGGAGACATGATAGAGGAAGGAAAGAAAGTCAGTTATGGAGACTATTCTTGGAGAGATTTTTTTTTTTTAATTCAATTAATTAAAATGGTTCATTAAGTTGAACTTAGCTTTGAGCTTCTAGTCCTTTTCCTAAATGGAAGCAGAATAAAAATAATGCGGTCACTTGTTGAGAACATGTGCCAGGCCCCTATTTAGCGCTTTGATCCTACCCACAACTCTGCCGAGGAGAGGGCTGCCATAGAACCACCCCGGTTAGCACAGGAGGGGATAGGGTCTCGGGGAGGCTAGTCAGCCTTCCCTCGGACACGTAGCTGGCGGAGGTCTGGAAAGAACTCCGTATGGGAATAGGGATGCAGGCGGAAAAGCCTTATGTGTTGCGTTACTAGACTGCAGAGGTAGATTTCGGCTCATTGTAGTGTTTCGGTTTGTGGTGAACACAGGTTCATGGGTACAGATGAGAGGCAGCTGTTTGTAGCAGAAGATGTTCGTGGCTGACCCGGGACGTGTGGGTCTCGTTTGGCCACCCAGCCGAGGTTTCTGGTGTTACCAGGCAGGGCTTGACTGTGTGCTTGCGACTCCGGGGGGGTGGACATAGCCGACGCGGAAATACGGCCGGTTCATCTCTGAGGCCCGTGTGAGCATTTGAGCCGTTTCAGATCCTTGTTTCTTCTTAAATACAATTGTACTCTTTTCACTCAGTTCCGCTCAATGCTGCTTTTTATGTCAGAGTTTTAAAATACTTAAGGCATTTGCTACTTCCAGAAATACTGAGTTTGTTTGCATTCTCCTGATTAGGACTTTGTGCTTTCTTTGTGCCTGGGGTGCAGTTACCCTCCGGTCCGCGAAAGGGGCCGTGCCGGGGCCACCCTGCGGGCTGCGGGCTGCGGGCTGTTCCAGTGTCGCACACCGAAAGGTCATAAACACCGGCATTTGCGGACTTGCCGCAGTCCGCCAGCCCCTGTACCGAGTGTGTCCCTCGTATCGGCTCTTCTTAATGTCACGGTTCAGTGGGCGGGGTGCTGTTGTCTTTCTCTGTCTTCACAGCGAAGAAACAGAGGCCCAGAGGGGTTAGGTAACCTGTCTGAGTGGCACAGCCTGTGGCTGCCTTTCTCATTCTGAGTGCTGTGGTTCGGGGGAGGCGCGCCAGACGAGAAGGGCTGGACAGTCAGTGTTGAACGTTGCTCACCTCCTCTTTCCTTCCTCAGCGGCCCACCCCCATCACTCGTACGTCCAGACGTACACACGCACACATGTTTACCATCTGACCAAGATTCCAAGCCAAGGCCCGAGACGGAAAGTGAATTTTTTCATTCACATGGAGGGAGCTGTGAGTGCCGCCAACTTCTGCTGACATTGGGATCCTTGTGGGCAGAGAGTGGACCGGGGATCATCGCAGCCACGGGCGGTGATTTCCCCACTGGTGCTTCAGGCCGCAGCCCGGCCGGCTGACCTTTTTTGGCTTTGTTTTCTTAAAGAGTCATATCGGGACTTCTAATTTGAAAGCATAATCCCAAAGCCACTCGGCATCTGCCTGCAAAAAGCCTGTGTGTGCTGAAGCACTCCCCTCCTGATAACTGAGCACGGGGCCTGCTTTCACTCCTCCAGGCAGACTTCACTACGGCCATCTTCTTCAGTGCGCTTAACACAGGCCCCAGCCGTTCGCACGTCACAGACCAGGAAACATCCAGCCCTTGAAAAATGGAAGTTGTAATTGTAGTGTCCGAGTGTTCACTTGGACCAGAGTCGGACACCCTTGTTAATTCAAGTTAAGACTCTGCCCCTGGGACAGCGTCAGGCCAAGGCTTGTGCAGCTCATCACGCAAGTGATCCTGGCCCGGTGGTTCTGAGCGAACATCCGCGTGTACATGAGGCAACACTGGGGGACACTTGTTCTCATTTTACATTTGAACATCCCTCGGGACAGGAAATAATTTTCGTTTTTGAGTTACCCTAACAAATGAAGTGGATTGAAGGACTCTTTTGGGGTTGTTTTTTGGTTTTTACTTTAATGCATGAAGTCCCATAGCAGTACTTAATAATCTTGAGGAGTTTAATCCTCATAGCTAATTTCCTATCTGCTCACGTTTACGACAAGTTTGTAAACCTTCACTGAGAGATTAGCAAATTTCTTATTTCTAAAATTGAGAATATATAGTTTTTAGGAACATTGATGACTTTTGATCTGCATATTCTTTGGTCAGGTGTAATTCTGATGCGTGTATGGCTGTGATGCATCTCAGTTCAAATCAGTGAGCATTTGGGGTGCCTGGGTGGCTCAGTTGGTTAAGTATCTGACCCTGGGTTTCAGCTCAGATCATGATCTCACGGTTCTTGGGTTCGAGCCCCGTGTCGGGCACTGGGCTGACAGCAGGGAGCCTGCTTGGGATTCTCTCTCTCTCTCCTTCTCTCTCTCTCTCTCCCCCTTCTCCACTCATGCTCTCTCCCTCTCTTTCTGTCTCTTTCTCCCTCTCAGAATAAATAAACGTTTAAAAAAACATTAGCGTTTATTGAGCACCTGTTTCATTCCAAACACTGCTAATTATTGCTGAGGATACAGATTTTAGAGGGACCACATCCCTGTTCACATGCAATTTAGAGTCCAATTGGGAAAAGGAAAAGTGGGGAATCCGGTAATAGGCTTAAGTTACTATTATCCCAGTTTCAGTGACATACGAGCCATAAAAGGGTCACAGCAAAGTAAGAGAGAGATGGTGTTCATGGAAAGAGGCTCCCTGTCAGCAAAGATAGTGTGTATGGGTGGCATATAGACTGGGTGCCCTAAAAGGTGCCTGGGATTACAGCAGACAGAGCTGATGGAATGAACCAGCAGTGGCGCGGGTAGAGGTGTTCCAGGAGCCGGCCCCGAGCCAGAAGGCGGCGCCCACGGGAAGGCCCCCGGTCCCCCTTCTCCGAGGGTAAATGCAGCGCGAGATGGAGCCTGCAAAGGTCCCGGCAGACGGCAGAGCAGCCTTTTCAGGAGCAGGCCCCTGAGGGACACCTCCTTGGAAGTTCTGCTCTCTGCCCCGACTTGGGCCCGCGCAGTGGGGCTCCTTGGCCACAAGCTCGAGCCCGAAGTCGTCTCACGGAGGAGTCTCGACCTTTGTGTTCTCCTCCACTGCAGACGGTTTTGACTTCTTTCGGGAAGTGAAGCAATCGTGGATACGGGCCGATGTCTCCAGCTTTTTAAAGCTGTTGAATTAATGAAAAGTTTGTTGACTTTTTCGAATTGTTTCTGGGGTCTCACGTTTGAGTAATAAGAACGCAGAGCTCGTCCGTCGGCGTCCCTCCCTTCGTGCGCCTTCGTGTCAGAGGTGGCTAATGTTCAAGAGTGGGCTTTCTGATGGCACGTGGAGCCTGCAGAGGAAAATGCTTTCCTAGAGCAGCCAAGAACGCCTTCCCTTCGCGTCTCAGACCAACTTGGGGGTTGGTCTCAGACGTTAACTTGGGGGTGGTCAAGGTGCCCTCCTGGAGGAGCTTTGCCTCACCTCTTCCTGCTGTCCCACACATCGGTCCAGGCGAGAAGAAGCCTAGAAGAGTGGGGTGACCGAGGTCGCTGTGACGATGGCATTGGTAGTTTGTCTCCAGAACGAGAGTCGGCAGGATTTTGAGGCAGACGAAAGGCGTGCTGCTTGGACGTCTGCGCCATGCCGCACGAGAGGGAGTCGGCCCTAGAGAGTCTTTCCTGCCGTGCAGTTTGCTCCGGAGATCTGGACCCGTCCAGCTTTCCCGCGCAGGACGCGGCCAGGCCGACGCCCAGCTCTCCTCGGGGTGGGCCTGCTGCCACAGGCGCGGCCTCCCTGAGCAGCTGCGTTCACGGAGGGGCCCCCGGGGAGCGAGCCTCCGTGCACCCTTACGGGCTCCACGCTCGCACCCGCACTCATGCCCCGGGCCTCCCGGGGGGGGGGGGGGGGGGCCCTCGAGGAGACCCACGTACCGCCCGGGGGGAGGGAGCCCTCCGAGCCCGTCGCCCACGCTGCGACCGGGGGATCCGCGAGCCGCCTTCATCGACTACGACCCGAACCTCCGGTGACCCCCGTCGTGTGCGTTTCCTGAATGCGGTGCGCATGCTCGTACGAGTCACCCGGATCAGCTTCCCGGAGACCCTCGGACCACCGGGCCGCTGCGGTCAGAGTGCCTCGCACACCCGCTCGTCCCTGGACTCCAGGCTGCGTGACCTCCCGCCCAGCCGTAGCTTCCTGGGCATTGAATGCCGAGCTGGGGGCGGCGCGAGCCTGACGGAGCCTGGCGCTTCCCTGTGGGCGCTGGCCGGGAGGATTGGGGGGACGAGGAACAGGTCTGAGGAGGTTCTTCCTCTGCGTGCTGCTGGCACCTGTCTGTCCCGCCCTGTGGTCCTCTTCCTTCGCACCGCACGTCTCCAGGTGGGACGGCTGTCTGACATCAGGGCGTCTGTGAGGTGTCCGGAGGTGGGCTGCGTCTCCCGGGCCACGGCGGAGCCGTCGTGACGAAGCCCGGGTGGAAATCTGCCGCCCGGAGCCGCCAGACTCTGGGGCAGGAGGCTCGGCCCCCGCCGGTAGGGGCCGAGTGTCCACATGGTGGCCAGTGGCTTTACCGCTTGCCCGCGCGGCGGCGGCTCCTTGACGCCTGCTCTTCAATCCCGAACGGACGCTGCTCCTCCCTGCCGGCGACCGGCCCTGTGAACTCTTCTCAAAGCCCGCGCGTCCCGCAGGGGTCGCGCCCGCACCCCTTTTCCCGCCGGCCGTCCGCGAAGCCCAGTCCTTGGGCTCGTGTGTCTGTCCGCTAGGGCTGTGCTGACAGAGCAGCCCGGAGGGGTGGGGGGGCTTAAGCGGTAGAACTCTGTTCTTTCATGGTTCCTGGGGCTGGAAGTCCACGATCAAGGTGTCAGCGGGGTTGGCTTCTTCTGAGGCCCCTTTTCCTTGGCTGGTAGACGGCCGTCTTCTCCCTGTGTCTTCACACCGTCTTCTCTGTGTGCCCATCTGTTTGCAGATTTCCTCTTCTTGGAAGGGCACCGGTCATAACTGCGTCAGGAGCACCCTCATGACCCATGTTAGCTAATCGCCTCTTCAAAGACCCCGTCTCCAAACACAGTCACGTTCTGAGGTGCTGGGGGCCAGGGCTTCAGCATGCGATTTGCGGGGAAGGGAGAGACACATAACTCAGCCCTTAAGGGCCTCGTGGAAGGTGGCCGCCCGCCCCCTCACCCCCTCCCGGGGTTGTTCTTCCACGAGCCGCTGGGACGGGCGCTCGCCACGTGTGTTACATGGGTAAGACCTGAGCACAGGTTTGGGTTGCGAGCTTGTCTCGATCTCTCTGAGATCTTTGCCTTAGGTTAAATCCAAAATTCAGGCCAAAGAGAGGACATGTTTCACATCTGCATCTAAGGAGGATGTAAAGCTGTAATTGTGTTTTCGTGCTTCGAAGGGTAATCTTTGCCTCTGTTCTTTTTATTAAACAAATGTGATACGGTGACAAAATTAAATACCCCTTCCCCTCCTTTCTTTGTAATGAGGAAGTCTGTCCTTTATTTTACAATTCGACTTGCAGAAATGGATTGTACTTGATAATTTGCTGTGCGTCCATAAAAACCATAAAATATAAGAAGCAATGTTGCGAGAGTGGCTGTTCTCATTTCCTGGCAGTCATTACATGCTTCCAATACAAAAACATTTTTCTCCTAACTGTCCGTTCTGAGCTCAAAAATGGATCTCCCTCCAGCCCCTGTCATTCAATTATCACCTCGGGAAATGCACAGATATAACTGATGATCCCTTTAAAACGTCCTGCAGCATGCCATCCTCTCTCATCCTTCATCTTTTGTCCTGTTCCCGTCATTAAATGTTACACCGCCAATGTATATTTTATAGGGTGACCCTGGCAGTGTCACTTTGATACTGTGCAGGGATAATAAGATTGCACATATAATGAAAGGCCGATAAATAGAAAAATGTTTACGACACGGAGAATGGTGCTTTTAACAGTTTTATGGCTTTCTCTTTTCCTCTCTTCTCTTCTCCCCCTTTGCTGGTAGAATTGTGGTTTTGTTACAGAACGAGAAAACATTAAGAAGGGCGATGTGGTAATAGAACCGACAGCGGTGAAATCCCACTTGCCCTGTTGCTGAACTCCAATAAAATGAATTCAGGAAATAATGAAGTATTCGGCTTATAGGAAAGAAAACCGGTTTCAGTGAATGAATTCTTGGGGGTTCGGGGAACCCTACAGAGCAGACGCGATTCTTCGCGTGGGCGTTATTGTACTTAAAATGTGAAGTCTTCAACGGCTCCGTAAAACCAGGGATAGAAGCCCCCGAGTGGGCCCTGGTGTGTGGGTCCCGTGTTAAGTGAAGGCCAGTCTTGTCGCTGCATCGGGACTGCCCAGGCTTCTGTGCCACAGGCTGGTGTAGGCACTACCCGGGGTGGGTTTCAGGCTGGGCCTTGGATGGATTTGTGATGGCTGTGACTCTGCCTTCAAGCAAGTCATTTCCAAATCTGTTTTCTGGTTTTTATTGCTGTTATTCTTGGCTAAGTGGAAGAATCTTCTACGTGTTGCTTGACTGGTAGGTGTCTTAGTGGAGCTGCTTGGAGAGGTGGCAAGGGGAAGAGGTTCAGGAGACCACCCACCGGCCCTCGAATCATCTCCGTGGTTTTGAGCACACTTCGAATAGATGTGCCCCCTTTTGATGGATGCTTCCTGCTGGAAGTAATTTGGAACGTTGCTTTGTAGCATATTCAGAAGCCATTTTTTGAAGGACTCTGCTTGATCAAACTCTTCACCTTCCTCAGAGAAAGAAGAGTTACTGCTTTTAGGTCAAGAGGCCTGTGAAGGTCACTTGCTTGGCACATCTCTGTGACATACGCAGCCTAGAGCCAAAAGTAGGCCAGAGGGCTTTGTCCATAGCGGAAGCCATTGGATGGCTTGAGGCGTGGCCGGCAGGTTGTGAGGGGTGCTCGTGGCCGTGGGCTCCCAGGGTCTGTCTGGTACAGTCCTTGGAGCTTGTTCCTGGTGTGGGAAGTAGAACGTATTTGTCTAGGCTCGTGCACAATTCTGATTGTGCACTGTGCCAACCAGATGTTTTTCTGAACCTGGTACCCCGGCTTCGGGCAGGTGTGGTTCTGTACTTCTTGGGTGCGGCACTGGGGGGTGGGGGAGGTGGCTCCGCCCTGGGGTGGGAAGGCCGGCCACCCATTGTTAT